CGGACCCCCTAGGGGTCGCGGACCCCCTGTTGAAGACCTCTGCTTTAAATGAAGCCTACCTTGATTAGCATGAACTTGTGCATGGGCTCGTACCACTGCAACAGAACCACACTGGAGTCCAGAGCACAGCAGAGGAACAGGTTCCCTCCTAAAGCAGAAAAAAACAAAGTTTTTGTATTTTCTTCCCGAGACATATTAAAACTCCACAAATATCTTTCGTTAAAACAGACAACAATGAAGGAGAAAAAAAATCAAATCTTGAAATATTTTTGTAATAATGGACTTTTGCTCACCGACTGCGCAGGTCTTGCAGCCTTTGGTATCTGGTATTTTGCTTGTCACTGGACATTTTCTAGAGGAAAGAAAGTTTTAATGAGGGAGATTCTTCCACCTTTCTACAGCTAAGAACATAGGATGAAATAAAGTTCAATGGTACCTTGACAACAGCCTGTGAGTCGGTAAGGGAACCATCCTCTGATCTTTCCGGGCCTGTTCATATAATTCTTTTAGTGAATGTGAGTGAAGCTGTGATGATTTACCTGAAAAAAAAAAAACCCAAAGTCACTTAAGCGCACAGCTCAGCTGCATAAGGACACAGAGTTGATGATTAAACCCCTGATTAATACTGTTTATGACCATGAGAATGATGATGATGATGACAATGATGATGATGAATAAAGATACTTTAAATAAAAGGAGAAGAAGAAATTCAGTTTCCTGAGCAGAAATAACTTCAGGGACATGCTACTTGTGGAGCATCTTCTACCTTTCTGTTTTTATTCATTTATAAATTATAAAATTTTTTCCTCAAGGTCCCTCTGATAAACGGTAAAGTTCTTGACGGAAGCTGAGGGGCCCATCAATGGAGGCCATCATGTGTTTAGGCAGGGCCGGACCAAGCCCCAAAGGGGCCCTAAGCTAAATTTAATCTCTGGCCCCTTTATTTCTGCCTATAACATTTATTGCTGCAAACAACAGTCAGGTGATCACATCACTCACACACATGTTCATATTGTCCAATGTGTTACACATTGTAATTTCATATGCAATCTATTTACAGTAAAGTGCCATCTGGCACAATGTGGAAAAAAATAATCGGCATTGCAAAAATAACAGCAAAAGACCCCGAAAATAAATGAAAATAATTGAATTACATTAAAACAGTCACCATCTAATAGAATACAATATTAAGCACGCTTTATATGTCATCCAAATGAAAAGTAATCAGTAACCAGGTCTTAAAACTCTGTTAATGTACCGTATGTAACCATAGAAAAACCTTTGGAAAAGTAATGAAATTACCTTTACCTTTACCTAAACCACTGTTCTTCCTCTGTTTTGAACAAACTCTTTAAAAAATATTTCTGCTAAACTTTTCTGCTAATACTAAATATTGCCAGTCCGCTCAGTCTTTGTTCTAAGATGGAAGATCTAACATATTTCTTAATAAATTAGAGCTCAGAAAAGTCTCTCTCTGCAGATGCAACAGTGGCAGAGGGAGTGCAGGCTTTCTGTGTAGTTCTCCAAAGATGTGGGTAGAACTCACTATTATTTTATAATTGTAAAAGAGGGAAGTGAGCAGTTCAAATGCCATCATCTGTGCCTCAGGGAGTTTTTTTTAAAGGTTTTTCCATCTCTGTAGAGAGCTTACTCCAACAGGCTGTCTGTCTGGTTTTTCTTAAAAATATACATTTATAAGAAAAGCTAAAGCTCATCATTTCTCGTCAAGCTGGACCCCAAAACCAATTAAATTTTTCTTTAATAATTTTATAATAATTTTAAATAATCAAATATAACCTATTGTTGTAAAATGGCACGCTTTAGTCATTGTAACCATTGAGAACTCATCATACATACAAAATAAATACTTGTATATTTTTTACTTGTTCCTGGAGGCACGCTAGTTAACTTGGGGCCCCAAGCAGCAGTCTGCTGGCTTGATGACCAATGGGGAATGGGTTCTCCTCTCTCTCAGACCCATTTCCTGTCTACACAACATCAAAATAATAAAACAATAAACAAAAGACCACTCGTGCCTTAAAAAATTAAGGAAAATAGAATGAAAAGCATATCAAACCATCACAATTGCCTCTCCATGTTTCATTGTCAGCACTGGTGTTTTTATATTTGCCTGCTAAATGAGGTTAATGCTCATACAGGGTCCGTTTGACCTCTTCAGATCTCTCATCATGATGTTTACTCTCAGTTCAAGTATGGCTGACTTTCTTATTCCTGTATAAAATCAACTTAAATATCCATATATCCAAATAAATCAGAGAAAAACAGAGACTTTTTTTTTTTCCCAGTTTTTTTTCTCCAGGAGATGGTGCTGCAAGCACAAAGACTGCAGGTTTGGTATGAAGAACAGGGGGTTGGCATCTTAAAAAGAGCATCTGAACTGGAGATATTTTATTTTATTTTTTTCCCCCAGCTTTTATTATTATTACACAATCACAAGTACAGAGCAACGAAATTAACTCTCTACATTTAACCAATCCCCTTGGGGAGCAGTAGGCTGCCACTGTGTGGCGCCCGGGGAGCAGTGTGGGGTTAAGGGTTGTGCTCAGGAACATTATTTTTATATTATTTTAGTGTGAACTTTGACCTTTTTTGAATTACTTTTATGCCCAAAATCACATATTCTGATCTTGCATTTGGATAATAGCAGCCATGTTCAACCTTTTTCTTTACCTGATACAGACATGAGGACGTTATTAATGGTGTAGACCCAGGTGCATTTCCCAGGATATAACTGGAAGAGACGACACAAACATCCAGGGTTTTATTTCTATGCGCTCCTGCATTTTTTTCCACAGCATAGATTTTTTATTGACAAATATAAGGGGATAATTTTAGAGCCTTCCAGTAAATCAGACCAGGATCTTACCAGCTCCAGCGTGGCCTCAGTGCCATTAAGGTTCAGGGTGTAGATCCCTTCCTCTGCCCCCAGGATCAGATGCTGCTCTGAAGGAGGAAGAGCGGTGACATGATGTTTAGTTAGATGTCTGATAAGGTAAAAACAGCTGGATATTTGGAATGAGAAACAACCTTTAGACAAGGGGTTTTCCCAGGTTGTGGAGCAATTTATTTTCAGAGGGGAGCCATGAAATATCTTTTTAAAATAGACCTAAAGACACAAAGCAGAAAGACAGGTTAACGTTCAGCTTAGATATTTAAAACATCTCATTGGCAGAGGTTAAATCCAGGAGGAACTGACAGGAGGTTTCTTCAATACAGGGCTGGGACAGTCTGGAGGATCCTGAGAACAGAGTAGAAAAGAATCTGTCAGGATTAAGTCAGGGGGGAAGAAATACATTTTTTTTTTATTCCTTCTAAGAAGATGCTTTTAAACAAAAGAAACAATGAGAAAATTTAGATTTTCTTTCAAACTTCATCTTTTCTTCTACCTTTGAAATTGGTTTCCGTCTCCGGAAGTCTTTAGGAGGGAGTTCGGGAGGAAGTGGTTCTGCTGGGCTGTTATGTATCTGAGCCGGTAATGATGGAGGATCTGAATCACACAACGATACAAACATTTTCACAAAACTTACATAACAAGAGAATCATTCTGATGAGATGTTAATAACAAAATAGATCAAAATAATTTATATTGGCCCTAAACAGAAATGTAGGTTTAACAGCAGCCAGACAGACAAACAAAAAACAACCAACTTAGCTGCTTTAAAGTGACGGTTGTACAATTACTAACAAACATTAAAAGTATTTTTAGAGCATTAAGGATAACACTAAGTATAAAACAATAAAACAGAAAATGAAATAATTTAAATGCCCATGTTTCTAAACACTATACACCTATACACTGAGTTCTTTACATTTTATCTCATTGTTTTATATTCACACGTTTATCCATTAATAGATGTAACATAATATTTACACAAGTTAAAAAAGGTCTCCAAACTGTGAGGATTTAGTGACCGCCGGATGGGGGGAGCTCACCTGAGTGTCTTGAGGCTCGTGGGTGGGGTGTGGGTCGGACATGGGTCCCACTAGAGGTCCTGATGAGAGGGGAGGGGGCACACAGGGAGCTGGGTTTCCTCAACCGATCGTCCTCTCCTGCCATGCTCTCCTCTGAGCTAGTCCGAGCTTTTGGCTGTAAGGAGAAACATAAAAAAAAAAAAAAAAAAAATAGAAAATTTAACAAAAACATTTTGGATCCATTTTCAGATCAAAAAGAGTCCTTTTTTTAAATTAAAAACTAGATCATGACATCCTGAGTTTAGTAATTAGAGAGCTTTAAAACAAAACAAATAAAGTGTCTCATTTCATTCAAGAATGTTTTTTTATAAAGAGTCCTGGCTTTGAGACCTCCAATCCACAGTGATCCTCTATGTTTCTCTTTAAACGTCCTTTAAATGTTTTTAAATTGATGTGCAGCAACAGTTTGTCCTCTAAGCTCACTGCAGATTCCTTTTCCTTTCTGTCTCTGTTAATATGCACCAATAAGCTCTAATGCACCAATACAGAAGTGCTCAAAGTGGTTTATTGACAGCAAATGCAGCTATTTTCTCTCATAAATCCAGTAGAAGCATCAGGGATGCTCTTTGACCTAACCCTTGCTCCACAGCTAATCAAATTGTTAAAGATGTGACTGCATGCTTTAGATGTAAATGACATTAGAACCTGCTGCTGAACCAGATCCTTTTTTATTTTGTTGTTATTCCAAAATATTAAAGAGGGTGCACTTTTTTCTAATGAGCCTAATGGAAATATATCTAGCGTTGGGGTTTATTGTCACCTTTGGAGGAAGCGGAGGAGGAGTTTCATCTTCTGGCATTATGATGCTGTGAGAAAGAGAAGGCTGGGTCACTTGTCGCCTTAATGTAAGAAACAAAGCAAAGCTGTTTAATTTCTGATATTAATTGGCAAAATCAGTGAGTGTATTATTCGTGTTGCAAAGGAGGGTCTGGAGTGCAGTGCAGTTATTGCTGATTAGCATATCCCAACTGTTATGAACAGTTTACAGCAACAAAAAGAAAATTCTGACTTGGTTCATCTTACCAGGCGGGCTGCATCGTAGGGCTAAAGACAGAGAAAATATCATGCAGTTAAAAAAACAACCAATTCCTGGAAAACTGGCCTTTCACTTCATGAGAGTGTTTTCTTACATGTCCACATCGTCGTAGTCATCAGAGTCTGATTCCTGATCCCTGAGAGATGAAAAGATATTAATCAGTTGATAGAAAAGGAGCTGATTCATTTGATCCGCATGTGTGATTAACCAGATCGTTTCATTGTTTACCTCGGCGGGCTGTTGATGCTGCCTGTTGATCCTGTGGAGGGCCTCAGCTGAAAAAATAAAATGGAAAGTTGTGGAAAACCATTAACTATTGTTAATTGGACAGCAGTTTTAATCGTGTTTTAATTTAATCTTCCAACCTTATTTACTTTCACACATGGTTATAAGTCGATACAAACTCTTTGGACTAACTATCTTAGATCATCTGGTCAGAACAAACATTATTTTCTTTTTCTTCATCAGAACATCTGTTCAGCAGCTGCTTCATTTTGGAGAATGAAATAAACTTTAAGTAAAAACACCTCAATTTCAAAGCTGTTTCCATGCTTAATCAATATTTATATTTTTCGATGCTTAAAAAAAATGACAGCATGTTTAAAGGGCCTGTATCAACTTCTTTAGGCTTTTAATTATGTTATAATTGTATCCCTTCAGCAAAATCATGGGTTAATTTATGCATCTCTGGGTAGGAGTTCTGCTCTCTGGGCAGCAGCTCCTCCCTGTCCTGTTTAAACAGGGAGATGGGACATTTTTACATAGAGATAATTTAACCCTCATCCTCCATGAACCACCTAGCCTGACCACGCTGCGCCTGCACAGTGGCACTCGAGGATTGACGTTGCCAACATCTGGCTTAAAATGATCATGATCAACAGATCTGGAGCCTTTTCTGAATAAAATCTAATATTAATCATATCTGAATGCCAAATCTGTATAGAACAGAAGCTAAGAACCAAAACATGAGCCAAGAGCTGCTACATTCAACCCTTCAGGATAAACAGTTTGGAGCTAAAATCTTAATCTCGAACTGTCATTCTTAGGTATGTCTGGCATTTTCCAAAATGTCAACTTTAGAAATGGGAGCAAATTGTGTGTTTGTGTCAGACTGCGGGACAACTTTCCTGTTTGTTTTCCAATGTTTTGAAGATTAGTAGTAAAATGGACAAAATCTGATTAAAACCTGAACAGAGTAGAAGGAAACCTGTCTGCTTTGAGGTGAGACTCACAATGAAGATGTATAACCAGGTTATATCAAAACCAAAGGACCGAATGCTTACCGTTACATTTGGTGATCTGGTCTTCGTCGGCCTCTGAGTGTAAATCTGTTCGACTGAGTGGGCGAAGATAAAGATTTGATAATTTTTAGCAAAATATCCAGAAAAGGTAATAATCAGAGCTTAAGCAGAATAAATGTTATTCTAACAATTAAACAATAATTGAAAAAAACAAAAAAAACAAAAAGAAAATATTCAGTTTTAGCTAAAAAAAAATTTCTTTTAAAATTGAGAAAAAAATACAAAACTGAGCCGGTTTCTTACAGCTGATGTCAGAATTAGTTCTCTCGGCTCGGTTATGTTTGTTGATAGACTGGATTCTTCTTAAAGATGCAGGAGGCACCACCTTAAATCCCAAAGAAATAAAGAAATACTCTTAAAAACCCAACTAATGGCAGGTTTCTGATGTGAGGATATAAGGGAGGCTATATCGAGCTTATATATTGTTTATCCCAGCATCAATCACTAAACCCTCAGCTTGTTTTACCTCCATCTCGTCTTCCTCGATCGACAAGCAGCTCTTGTGTTTCTCAGGGTTTTTGAATTTGTCCAGCAGGTCCAGAGTCAGCTCCTGGTTCAGACACTGCTGGGTTAGAAAAGGATTCTGCAAACCCAGAGAAAAAAAAAACGTTAGGGCAAGTTAAGAGAAACATAGAGAACAACAGCTGAGCAGCAAGGAACCGCTGATCAGTTTGAAAATAAACCTTGAGACACACTGAGACACAATGCAAGGACTTTAAATGGGAGGTTCATAGCATAGCTTTTAGCTTATGCATAATGCACATAAATAATCATATTTAACATTCGTATCAAAGGCAAGATTTGGAATTTATCTCTGGGATGAGTTCTAAGGCCATTTGCAAACTGTCTGCATGTCATAATCTATAGTAAGAATGCTTATTAATGAAGGGGAAAAACGGACTAATGGAAAAAAAATCCAAAATTATAAAAAAGAATATATTTAAAGCTCTTTTCTCAAAAAAATAAAAAAATAAAAAATAAGAATAAGTAAATAAATACATGACAGAATCTCTGAAAGTTGCATCTGAATTGACCACAAAAACCCAGTATTGATTTCCTTTGGACAGATTAGTCCAAAGTCAAGGCATTTGGCTGCAACTCACAGCTTGAGTGTGGAGAAATAAAAAAAAAAAAACGCATCAGGAAAACTCAAAATAAAAACACAATTCCAACCGTCAAACTGGAGGAGGACTAATGATTTAGGTGTGCTTGAAGCCTCATGCCCTTGGCCAAATTGTGATTCTTTTTAAGGCAACACTGTGTTACTATTAACCACAGGGGGCGCTACTCCAGTATCCTCCAGGTTTATCACCCTAGCAACAGTGTACTGTCTCAAAATTAAGTCTGCCTCCATGTTTTGAAATCTGATAGCAGACCACTTTTGACCAGCAGATTGAGAAGTCATAGAGTTACTTGTAAAATATGTAAAATAGCCCCAAACATCTGCTTTTATCTGTTTTGTCATATGTCGTGGGAAATTGTGTGCATGACAATATATATTTTTACTAATTAGAAGAATCAGAATATGCTGACCTCATGTGAACTGACTGCCCCCCAATCTTGACCGTTCTATTACCATAGTGTCTGCAAAAACCTTACTTTTGTTCTTTGAAGATACTTTGAGTTCCATAGTTATATTAGCCAGATCTCCTAAAGGTTGGATGTTGGGTAACTTTTCATATCTGTATTTTTGGCCTGTTCTGTATGTGTTTGCTCCAACTTTATAAAAAGTCTGGAAAGCTTCAGCTCTGGGCGACATTCTCACTGGTTGTGTCCCCAAATGCTGCAATACCTTTGAATAAACATACAAAGACAAGACTGATATTTTCTTTTTCGTTGAAAAAAAGCATCTTACTCTTCGCTAATTAAAAAGAATTCCATAGCTAAAAACAACTCTTAGGTTAGTTAGCCCTCATGTTTAAGGGTAGCTCAGACTGCCGTCAAGCAGAGCTCTGGGTCACATGACTCATTCATTGATGTATGTAACCCTCTCAAGTTATACAGGCGAGTTTTTGAGAAGGGGAGCTCTCAAAGATTCTGGATACATGCAAAGAGATTTATATTGACCTAAATCTTTTCATATATCTCAAAGAAAGCTAATACTTTGGTGACAAGTTACCCGGTGATGCTTTAACACTTTAAGGAGAAAAACAGCTCTGGGTGGTTTGCTAAAATATGAGCACAGAGTTAGTTCGTTTTTTAGAAAATATTTATAGGAAAACTACCAAGCAGAAGAAAAGGAAACTTTTTAATAATATGTTGTAACTTTGCACTTATATCATTAGTTAATCTACACTGAAATGTGGACAAAACATATCTGTGAATGCTTAATAAGTGTCACTTGTTATGTTTCTACCTAAATGTTTAGTTTTTACAGCACTAGTGGCTCATTTTTCTTACAGTGGGCTGACAGGAAGGGGGGTATGAGAGAAGGGGGGGAGACATCAGCAAAGGACCACAGGCTGGATATGAACCCGGCCACATTGAGGTCTAAGGCCTCTGTATATGGGTCATGCGCACTAACCACTGTACCACCTGCACACCCAGACCCATGATACTTTAACATCAAGCTGATTATCATGAAGGCCCAGCAACCTCTCCACTTTCTGAGAATCCTCAATAATGGTCAAATTAAAACTCAAGCTGCTGTTTTTTACCGCCTCTTCATTCAGAGCTTGCTGACTTTCTAATAATAATAATTGAACTTTATTGATCTCACATTGGAGAAATTTACCTCTGCATTAACCCATCTCCTCGGGGAGCAGTGGGCTGCCACTGTGGGGTTCCAGGAGAGCAGTGTGGGGTTAAGGGTCTTGCTCAGGGACCCAGTCAGTCAGTGTCAGTCTGTGGGAGTGGGGCTCGAACTCAGAACCTCAGGATTCCAAGCTCTATGCCTTAACCACATATATTAATCTAATATCTGATTTCACTTTGTTTTTATTCTGTTTAATGTTTTTGTTAATTTCTCTGTGCACTAGTCAGTTGACTATTTTCTATGTACTACATGTTGTGGAGTTGCACTTTGACAATAAAGATTTATCCTACATCTGACATCTGAGCGGAACCAGCAGGTGAATCTAATGCAGCTGAGACATCCTAACAGTTCGGACGGTACAGATGGAGTACTAACCGAGAGCATCTTGGCAGCGCTTGGTCTCTTCTTGGGGTTCCTCACCAACATGGCCTTCACAAAGTTGTAAAAATTGGATGACCTGTGGGCAGGAGGCAAGTGGTGAGGTCAGAGACCACCTTCATATGCAAACCGGTTCTTTAAAAACACAAACAGATCAGATGCTGCAGGTAGAACCAATATTTTTTTAATTATTTGACCAAAGCAGGTTTATTACAGCTTCAGATTTACCTTAACAACTCATTTACCCAACAGTAGATCATTGCTAGGTGTTTAAATGAGAGTCCTGTTTAAAATGTTTGTGGATTTTGTCTTTACCATTTGGACTTGTCCTTCAGTTTCGGGGGCTGGTAGCCACTTTTGGACATGAGAAATAGGACCCTATGGGGGACAGAGAGAAAAAGAAAGGTGAGACAACGACACAGACCGTCAGTTCTACTGGGTTTCGTTTAGCAAAGTGAGGACAGTGAAGCTGGACGTGTGGGTGGTGGAAAAGTTTGACGTCACAAAGAAGGAAACCGCCTCTGTGCACATTTGAGGTTGATCCTCGCCTCACGTTTGTTTTGTTTTTTTCGATCACGTTTTAGAGCAGTCCATGGCTGCATGCTTTATGGGCTTGATGAGGGACTTTGTTTCAATTCTAGTTCATTTTTTATCACACATTTACAGTTTCAAACATTTTTAGTTATGGTTCCACTTAACATAAAGGACTATTTCATATTCCCCCCCAAAATTGTTCTAATTTGACAAGACAAATTAGACGTTTGTGGTCAGGCTAAGTTAAAAGATAAAACCGGATTACAGGAAACAGGCGTCATTCTCACAGTGAAGCATGGCGGTGGTAGCGTTATGATCTGGGATGGCTTCTCTGCTTCTCAACCTGGACGTCTTACGGTAAATAAAGGAAAGCGGAATTCTTTTAGCACAAACTAATTGGGTAAAGCAGCAGAACAATGACTCAGAGCACAATTGGCTCTATTTGGTTTTGACTGGTTATTCATCATCTTCTACTTTTTGACTGGAAGCACATAGAGACACAGTCCAACCAGCGTGTCCTGACCTTTCCCCTGGGCCCCCTTCTCAAAGGAGGCCTCCATGGACTGATAGCTGATGGATGTTTGTACAGACTGGGTTAAAGCCTGTTCATCTAATTCTTAAACCACAAACAAAGAAACCTCTTGTCCTAAATTTACCCTATGAAGCTAAGAAGAAATATTAGTTTGTGTTAACAATTTACTGTACTAAAGCATTTACTTCCTTTTAATTTATGTGTATAAAAAAAAAACACAATATCTTAGAATATTTCTCCTGGATAACATCAGCTGTTATTCTTTTAGTTTTGAGTTGTTCCTCATAAGAAGACCTGGAAGTTGCAGAAAGCTTTTTTTTTATTCTAACCTAATTCCTTCTGTCTTTGGTGCAATTTACTGCCAAAATAGGTGCAAATAGAGGTTGTTGTGTAATACTTCAGAGTCATGCCTTAAAAAATAAAAGTACTTTAAAGTTAACTATTCTAACTTACACAAAAACTTTGGTTTCCACAAACGTTTGAGTATTCTGAACTTTTAAGGGTCTTTTCATTCAATATTTTACTGATCTATCTTCAGTTTAAGGCATTTCTATCAATCAATCAATAATCACGTGCCACAGATCTTCTTTTAGGATTAACTAAATCCACCATATTATGAGCTAAGAAATGAGCTTGGTTCTGCCAAATAAAGTAATCCTGTTAATAAGCCACAAGAGGCAGGAAGGGCCAAAATCTCCAAAAAAAGTTACTTTTTTTAAAGAGAAAACCGAAACCATTTCAACATCTGTTTTTTTGGTACAAAACTAATTAAAGTTTTGCATACTAAGATTGATTCTGTCAGTTTAATCTACTATTTTTGCTGTTTTTGTTATTAAACATGTGGGATATTTTTAAAAGGATTACTAATGGGCTTGAAAGGAATGGTAAAAATTGGTAAAAAAAAGTTGGTCATGGACCAAAAATTAAAGAAAACTATAAAAAGAATCATTATTCTGTCCACCTCAATCAGAAAGTAACACGAGCGATTTATTTAGAGAATGCATCCTGTGTGTATTCTATGTGCACAAAGACATGTTGAACAGCATCTGTTTCAGTTTTAAGGTTTTACATATTAGGACATATAAATAAAGCTCTGGTTTTCACATACTTTAATCCAACATCTAGTGTTTAGAAAGCACACTGCAAATTCCAAAGTGTCCTTGTATATAAGGACAGGATATTAAAAACTTATTATACCAGACGATTTAACAGCTCAACAGCTGTCATATAACAGACTAACTTGATTGGTCCCTCACATTGTTAAAGAAGAGATCATCTGTGCAAATTTGAAAATCTGCTATGGTATCATCCACTCAAAGGACAAGTCTACAGGTATATTTAGCTGCAGCTTTGTAAACATTAGTTGTGCTGCCATATTTCTTTACCAGAGATTAAGTTTCCTCCTGCAACTTTTCCAAACAAGTCGGTCTTTTATGAAATTTTCCTTTGTAACATTTAACAATCTAAATGAGTTAAGCAGAGTCTGAGGTGGAGCTGTTGGGTCATGTTCCTCTGAGCATTTCACTGACTAAGATTATGATGAAAGTCCTGGACTTTCTCCTCCTGGGTGAGATTGACCCATTTTTAGCCTAATAAACCTTCCCATGTTGGTGGGCATCACTTGTTTCATGGTTTAGTTTATTTCTGAATATGCTTCATATGTCACCAAATATCCCAGAGGTCACAGCACTGTTATCATTATCAATCATCTATTAATCAGCTGCAACAATTCAGGTGACCCCTGAAACCTTTGCAAAGAAGCAAGGGTGAAATATGTGTTTAATAAAGAAAAACAATAATAACCTAAAACCTAATACTGTTTATTCTATTTATTTCTGAGGCTTAAAACCATAGAAATAAAAGGCGTACTTCCTATGTACCATAAAAACAGTAAAGGTTGCCTCTAAAGAAACCAGAAACTACACCTCATACTGAGATGCTGATGCTAAATGTTTGTTTAAAGGTGGTGTCGTGTCTGTCAGAGTTTAATCACCGCAGCGGGTGGACGTCAAACATTGGAGGCTGCAGCTCTGCCAGCTCGATGGCTGTGATGCCCACAGACCAAATGTCACACAATTCATTGTAGCCGCCTTTAATCTCCACTGCTGCTACCTCTGGGGCCATCCTGGAGGTGGGAGTGGGAGAGCAAAGGTAAAGATAAAAAATGCATAAAGTTAGATTAAAAAGGGTATATTTTTATCCAATCTTGGCAAAACTTTTGAAAATTAGGCACACAGATGGCTGAAAGCTGCATTATTAAATAATCTTTACTGTTTCTTTTAAATTAGTGATCAACTGCTTTAGATTTGATCCTAATGTAAAGCTGCGGAGAGAAAGAGAGGTGATTTTAAGTGTGGATCTTACCAGTATGGCGTCCCAATGAAGGACATCCTCCGAGCCAGAGTGGCAGTGATCTGAGCTGAGATCCCAAAGTCGGCTGCAGAGCAGGGGAAATAAAAAAATATTTTAAAAAGGATATTCAAAATCTATTTAATAGATAAACAGCAAGTATTTTAAATGTTATTTTTTGAAGCAAAGAAATAGGACTGCAACAATGATCTGATTAAATGGATAAAAATAATTAATTAGAAGTATTGCCAACAATTTTCATTATCGATTTGTGGTGTCTAATTAATACATTGCTTGCTATGTTACAGAGCTGTTCCACTGCACCTTCAGAGCACTGTCAGGCTGACTGACGATTGGAACCGAGTCTTCAAATGAGTCAAACTTGGTGCTTTGTTAACAAAAAATATGCAAGCTTTGGGAAGTGATCTGATATGGCATGAAGCACAGCAGAGATTATGCAGTGACTGGAACAACAGTGAGGCCGCAATCTTTGTTCCACTTCAAAGTGAGGAAACTCCAACAGCTGTTAGCACAGCGGAGTCATGCGTTACACCTCCAAATATTAGTCTTTTTGATTGTTTACCTGGCTGAGGACATTAACTATGTTTACATGTGTGAAATTCTTTAATCAGAATGAAATGTAATCGGATTACAATAAAGAAAGCTTTTCTGAATTCACCGGTTTATATGACCGAAAAATCAAATAATTGCAAAAATAATGGGTGTTTAATTGCACCAAGCTTTATTTGCCGTAGAAGCAGAGCTGTCAAATTTCCTTAAAGTCGTAAGGAAACGGCCGTTCTAACTGTTCCAGAATTGCTGCGAAATTCTCCCAAGAGGTTCACGACTTTACACAAGAGAATAAAGTGAATGTGATTGGTCGTTTATCAAGGGGGCGGGATAGTTGTGGCTGAAGGTTTGCAAGCAAGTGTGATTATGGCCGGTTTGTCGGAAGCATCGTTGCTAACAAATTAGCAACTTAGTGCTAGTAGGTTCCCAATGGGAAATTCCAATAGGACCAAGCAGCACTAAATTGGTGACTTAGAAACAACGCTGTCAAGGAACGCTATGGACAGCGGAAACAAGCAAGAGGAGGAGAGTTTTGTGTCAGAGGTCGTGGATGAGTCTCCTCCGTCATACATTTTTAATTTAGAGGAGGAAAGCGGGGATGAAGATGTTGTGGAAGAGGACACCAGGGCGACAGAAGCTTGGTTTGGTGTAGAAGGCTTCCAGCCGTACATGTTTGAGCCCTTGCCTCACAACGCTGCCAGTTCTGTTTGCTCTACGCCTGCTGAAGACACAGACGTCCATCCCTGTGAACACTTGGTTGGAACTCAATGGGGAAGTAATAAAGAATAAATCATTCTTATTTCTTATTTCAACCATTGCATATATTAGCTGCGACATATGAATCAAGATGCTATGACCAAAAAAAAGTGATTGACAGATGACTGTTGATATTAACCTGACTCCGCCAGATGGATTTGCTCCGCATATCCATCTGGAAACCTTCTGTTGTAGTAATGTTGGGAAGGGGCGAAAATACTGTTTAGCTGATTGGCCTATGTTGGTGATAGACGGGCCAAATAAACCAATCAGATCAACGAAGCATATGACATACTAANTTTTCCTCTGAGAAAAGCCTCCAGAGCAGTGTTTTGCTCTTCTTTCAGTGAAGAAATACTCTGTAATTCCGATAAAACTAGCTCGATAGCCACGCTAACGCCAGTTTCATCGGCTGAAGCCGCCATGTTCTTTAGACTGAACTGTCGCGCTTCTCATTGCGTCACACCTCAACCCGCCTCAGAGCCAACGCTGATTGGACGTTCGTTTGGTGAACGGCTCCAAATTTTCTTCAACTGAGAGTCTCCAGACTGATTAGCAAGTGAAACCTTGAAAGCTCGCTAGATCAGGATGGTCTCACGAGGCTATGTTGATATATGATTGGCTGAATTTAGGTGTACAAGCTGACGTATAACTAACTGGCTTGCATAAAATAATGAAAACCCTCCCACAGATTTTAAGAAAGGATTTTTTTTTTTATAGAAATTTTCTAAATTTTGGGACAATATTGTTTGATAATGAGTACAATTACATGTTTCAGCCAGAATGATTCTGGGAGCAGTTCAGGCATTTTTGCTTTCCACAAAGCTTTTCCTAGGTTACATATTAGGGGGTGGAATAAATTACCATCCCTTAAAGTTTTGCGCTGCTCATTGCTGCTCCCTTGCCCTCCACATGTCTTCAGGTCTGTTCTCTGTATCTCTATAGTTATGCTGCTATAGGTCAGACTGCTGGAAGACATAGGGACCTCTTTTCCTCATTATGCTTCATTCTATCTCTATTCTCCCGCTCTGAATAATTTGCTAGTTCAATCTCTAACATTATACTTTCTCTGCTTTTTCTCATAGTAGCTTCATCTGGTCTGTTCCTGTTTGGCTGTGACACCATCATGGAGAGAAATGTCAGCTGTGCTGCTACCATCAACACTTTTGTTTACAGTATATAGATGTTGGAGCTTAGGCTGTTTTTCAGTGTAGTCCTGTTTCTAACACTTTCAGAAGATTTATATCTTCTAATCTATAAAAATCTAGTAATTGAAATGTAGCCTATAGTATCTAAATAAAGTTTAGCTTGTCCTCAAACAGTCTATGACTGATTGTTAAATGATGTCCTCAGTCTGGTTACTCTGTTGTGCCACACTCATTTCCAGCACCAGCATAATGGTGAGATGCACCAAGCCCTTCTTCTTACACACCACAATGTTACGGGTTCACTTTTGTGTTTAGTTGCTGTTTACAGAGAAAATATTGATTGTTAAATGACTGACTAACAAAAGTTAACAGGACACATAAGTGGAAATCAGTTTATTTGCTCTGTCAGTCCAAATGTTTTATTTTGGAAGAAAGAGGCAGAAATGTTTTTATTTTTTCTCCCAGGAATCAAAAAACAAAAAGAAAAACAACAACCAATTGATTGATTAGTTCTTACACATCGTAAAACATGCCATGATTTAATGAGGCAGAGGTATTGTTGTGAGAGCTGCTACCTTTGTGGTGGGTGACTCACGCTAACCACACTGTGATACAGTGCAATGCACACTCTGCAAACTTCCACTTACCTAGTTTGACCTCACCCTGATCATTCAGAAGGATGTTGGCACCCTGCAAGGAAAAGACGTGAATCATGAGAACAGATGCAACACAGAAACTTTGTATTTCTCCAAAACTCTGTTCTCTGTGTTCTGCTCAGAGATCTGTAAGCAAACTCACATGGGAGAAAGAGATAATATCAACCTTAAGTTTGGATTGAAACTGGATTATTTATGCATATTGCCGTATCCTACAGTCTAAGAAAAGATTGGTTGGAAAAACCTCTAGTTAATTAAACCAAATTTGGTTTAACCAATATGATGATTAAGCCATTGGTTTCGGATCAACCCAAATAATAGGTTAACCAAACGACCAATAAAAATGGTAACTGATGGTGTACTACGTTGGTTGTAGTTAATGGTAGTGTGTATTAGTTATCGACCTCGAGAACAATTATTGTGATGTGCTCCATTTACAGCATACAAATCATGGCATTAACCTTTGACTTAACATTAGCATTACCTAGTACTAAATTCCATGAAATGTTAGTAGCAACAGTGGCATGAGATGCAGGAGTTTGCTCTGCACCGTAGTGTTGGTAGATCTAGTCTTGATATTCTGGCTTTTTCAAAGGCACTACACATATATTTGGACACATTACTACCAACAAGATTGGCAAAATTCAACCAATATTGACCAATTATTGACCATTCTGATATTAGGTTGTAGATGCACAAAGGAGCATCATCACACTTCCTTCTTCCATGCAGCTGTTAGAGCTTATAATCATAAAGTTCTGGTCATCAGAACAGAATTTGTCACTAATCTACTTCTGCAAAAGGCAACGAAGATCTTCTGACTGATGTTTTCCAGGAATATGTCTAGCCTGATTATTCAGGTTCTTAGCAATCAGGTTCTGGTTTTTCTGGTTTTCTCTCTTCTTTTTGTAACTGCAGCAAACCATTGTTTTAATCTGAATTCTTTATCTAAAGTCTGATGGAAACACCGGCAGACAAACAGTGCCATGCTGACCTTAATATCTCTGTGGATTTTCTTCTGTGCATGCAGGTAGTCCAGACCCTGGGTGCATAAACAAACAAAAAACACAACTCAAGTTCTTACTTCCCCTAAAACTGCAACGACTTGAAAAACAGCATTGCTATTGGATTACAAAGAGCAAAGTGAAGAATAAAATCTGTTGTTACCTGTAACATCTCCCTGCAGATGTAGGCGATCTGTGATTCGGACAGAGGGCCTGTCACTGTGGGACAAAATTCACTTGTTTTATGTTTGAAATGAATCACAGGAAGAAAATAATGAAATACAAGACAAAAGAGAGCAAAAAGTAAAACATAAAATGAAGAAATCACAGCCTGAAATGCATAAATCAAGCAGTCAGTTGTCATAAACATTCTAACAGTGCAATGTTTTTTGTTGCATGCAGAGCTGAAATGTAGCATCGCATTAACATGATGAGTTGCAAATATTTCATTTAATTTGATTTTGCAACAAACTGGCTGTTTCTGCTTGTTGCTCCTGCAGTCTTTTCAAACTGAACTCAGCTGTGCATCAAATATACGGTCATACCGTCTTTTCTTTATTAAGACAAGTTGATCAGTTTGGAAATAAATTTCTATCATATCAAACTGGACATGCTGATATTTTTAATTGTAATTGTAACATAATTGCTTGTTCTCCAACTTTTCAGCTGGGGACTAACAAATAAACCGCTGATGAAACCACTAACCTCAATTATGAATCATTTAAATAAAAAAACATGTCAAATAAGCCGAAGAAGGGAGTCCTGTGTCATATTTCACTTCAAAGACATCAGTCTTAAAGAGTTCATCGTAAAACCACAATCTGGCTATTCTATGGTTTTCAAAACAGATAAGTCATTTAAAACCGGTTTTTGAAACCAGAAACCCTTTAGAGCTATGCTCTTTAAAAAGGCAAGCCTTTACTAAACATAAAAGATAAGTATCCATAGCAGCTTTCATCTTGAATCTTTTCATGTCTGTAGACTGATAAGTTTATTTTTCTAGAGAAGAAAAACCTGTAAGCAGAATATGTTGACTGTCTTTTTTTATAGCAAAAACAGAAGATGGATGAAGTGAACAACATTACTGCACATCAGTGCAGGGAACATAGGTAGCGGTAAACACATATAGGGAAGATGGACTCTTTCAAAACCAATAAAAGAAGAATATTTCTGTTGGAAATGCTTTTTTCTCCCAAATTTGTTAATAGAAAAAAAAAGCAGCTCCTAGTTTTAAAGAAACATATTATCTAATTTGGCAGACAGAATGGTTGGTGGTATAGCTAACTCAAACAGCTGGATCAGATGATGGCGAGACTGACTGCAGCGAGAAGAAACACCAACTGATCCGTTGTTTTCAGACAATAAGCCTGAAATTAAGCGAAACAAAGGAGATTGTTGTGGATTTCGGGAGGTCCAGGCAGACAGAACATGTAATTGTTGCATTTAAGCTTATTGAACATAATTCTATCCTTTCTTTTACTTTTCAAAGGTAATTTTCAGATTAGAATTCTTTTAAGTTGTCTTTGCTTTATATTACATTATCTACTGCATAGTAAGAATGCTTTTTTAAGTCTAAAAAGGTCTCCTTTGAGCTCTCACAAAAGAAGCAAACAAGCATTTCATGAGGATTTTTGTCAATGCTAAGGACTTTAATGAAAACATCATCTTAAAGATTTTTTTGATAATTTCCTTTTCCTTGCAGCATGCAGGCAACGAGGTATATCTTTTTTTTTATTTAATATGCTCTGCAAGTTATTATTTGTCTGTCATAAAATGGGGCAGATGGACCCAGTATTCAGGCTAGACAGACAGTGGGAAGTTTCAAAACATTTAATGACCGAAGACAAAACTGAAACCGAACAGAAACAGGCTGCTGTGGATCTTCTGACATGCAGCGGTTCCGGGGGGAGGCGGGGTAACATCCATCACTGGCATTCTGGTTTAACAGCTCAGTCCATCCTCTCGGGGGAGGCAGGATCCAGCTGATGCATTTCCAAAGAGATGCAGCGCTGAGCCGTCCAGAGTGTCCCTGATGTAGCAACCCCAGTGAGCAGGCAGGAGACCGATCCAGGTCAGGAAAACAGTTCAGAACAGGACAGTTCTGAGATTCAGGAGTCCACAGCCTGACCAGGGGTTCCGATCCACACAGGAAAAGACAGTTCCAGGGTTCCAGGAATCCAAGGAGCACCCAGGCAGGTTCAAAATTCCATGCGTCCAGCAGCGAGCTAAGACGGACACGCTTAGATGGAGACAGGCGGGCTCAGTGGTTGAGAGGAACAGAGACAAGACATGGTACCTGGAGAACTGCAGAACTTTAAACTGGCCAGGATCACAGGACTTAAACCTGACTCCCTCCCACAAGCCGAGCCAAACAGGCTCCGCAAAGAGGAGCCAGGACCCGAGCACCCCCCCACACTAAGCAGACAAGGAGACAGGACTACACTAAACACTAAACCCTCTCGACACACAGCCCCCCAGGAGTCAAAGACGTGAACCACGAACTTAATTACTGAAACATAAAAACATATTGCACAAACATGAATAGCTAATGATCTGGCCCTGATAGCTGGGCTGAACCGTATCTAAAGCAGAAGGAGCAGGTGGATAAGATGAATGGTAATTAGAGAGCGGGGAGCGGGCAGGTGAATGAAGTGAGTGAATATATCAGCTACCGGGGCTGCGACCATTACATTGTCATATTAATGTTTATGTTTGTAAACATTACGTAAGTTTAACAGTTTTCAACGTGGATTTGGAGAGACCAAGAGCAACTTCAAATAAACAAGTAAAACAAAGGAAAGGGAATTACAGAACATATGTTATGATCAAGCTCCTGGAGCTTCACATCTCCTCTTTCGTGCCGCTGCCTTCAGGGATTATCAGAACACAGACTAAAATACTTAAAGACAACTTCTTCCCTAGGGCTGTCAGAGAACCAACCCTTTTTTTACTCATGTTGGCACAGTTTGTTGCTCCTTAAGCTAAATGTTATACCCACTCTTGAGTTGTAAAAGCTGTGATTTCTCAAACTGACTTCTGTAGTGCATAACATGCACACAGAATGATAATAAAGAAAATTCTGGTTCTAATTATGACTCAACAGCCAGACCACTGAGAGGAATGGCTGTTAGTGAGCTTCCAGAGCAGAGAAGGATTTTGTTTGCCCTTATCCAGGATATGGAGTATTTTTTGTTTGTTCTTTGTGTCAGAGCTAAATGAAGGAGAGAACATTTGAGAGCAGATGTCAACAGTTATTTTTGTCTTCCATAAATCACATTTGTAACATTAGTCTGAAGAAACGTATGCTACAGATTTAAATATGTTTTTATGTTTTTTCAGTTAACTTTAACATTGGCTTAATAATCATAAAGGTGAACCTATGCAAAGGTTTGTCTTTGATCGACATGCCTCCACATCTCTGCTTGCCTCGCTGGTATGGGGAGGCTGAAAGCAAAAGAAATGCTCTAGTCATCTTTTTATTAGGACAACGACAAAGAAACTAAATTGTTTAGGTTTTAAAAATTTAAATATTTCCCTCAGATAACCTTTAGTTTAAGTTTTCGTTTCTTAAAAAAGGTACAATAAGACTGGGCTGTTTGGTGATGTTTTAGACTTAGATTTAGACAGACTTTCTTGTCATTTTTTACACACAGAGTTCAGTACAGCTCTCAAGACCTTTCCAGTTTTAAAGTGCAGCAGTGATAAAATATAACCGGGTATATGGTTTACATTTCCAACATTCAGCGCTTTTTTTTAATGCTTTTTTTTAACTCCATTTTGACAAACTGAAATGTTATCTTTAAAATTATTTTTCTTTTTTCCTTTAAATATTATAACTAGTTTAAATAATTTTCAACTAATCTCCAAATTGTTATGGCACATTAAGGCAGTTTTAAAGGTTCTCTGTATTTTGGATGATCAAGCACTTATAAGGTGATTAAAAAAATGCAAGTGGATGTCAGAGTTAAAATAACTGTTACTGTTTTCCATATTTTTCTATCATTGCCATAATGGTAGTAAAGGTTTCCCATCAACTGAAGTGTGTGACTAAATTGTTAAATAATTATAGAATGGATCAAGAAATGCTGGTATCATAAAAGTTATTCAAAGAGCAAAACATTTTTGTGCAATTTTATTTCAAAGAGGCTTGAATTTTGAAGAACAGAAATCCTTTTAATATCAACCTGTCCTGGGACTACAGGTGGAAATGAGCATCTTTTGCTATAACCTGACAACATAATTCCTGTTTTTATTATGCAAGTGTGCACTGTCTATCCTGAATAGTCACTTTAATATTGATTTTTTTCTTGAATAATCAAATTGGTGAATTTATAAATAATATTATATTGGTCTATATCTGAAAGGAACTATATTTTAAAAGCCACAAAGGGTGAAAGAAAGCAAGAAAAGTATTTTGCAGCCATTTATATAGCACAGACAAGATGTCTGTGCTATCTTAAGTTTAACAAAATAAGCAGCTAGAAAAATTACATTTCTGTTGCATTTTTTCTCCTATGGTAATAAGATGATTTTGATATTGTAGCTATAAACTAAAATGACTGAAAAGTAAAATAAAATAAAATTAATTTCTCCAAAGGCATATTTCTTAGAGAAAACCCCTTTATCACATATTTCCAGTCCAGCCAGTCCTTTACTCACCGTGGTAGATATCCTGAAGGGAACCTCCTCCACAGAACTCCATACAGATCCACAGTTTGTTGGCTCTACAGGAAGATGGAAAAATCCAAATTAGCCACTGTGTTAATGAAGAAAAGAATAAGAATAAAAAGGAAGCCAAATATCTGACCGTATGTAGCTGCCGTAATAAGCCACAATGTTTGGATGTTTGCAGCTCTTAACAATGACGATTTCCTGCTGGATGATGGAGAAATCATCTTCTGCAGAGGCAAACACAGAGAAACAGCGGTTTCAAAAAAGCTTTCAAGACGAGATAGAAGCAGCAACACTTTCCGATTTCTTCTCTTCTGTCACAAAGAAACAGGTGAGTCATCCTGATCCGGTTAGTTTCATCAAGCTACAACTTGTTTATAAAAGCATAACCTGTTTGGGGCTCTGAAGTTTTTCTGATACCTTCTTCAGTCTAAACGCCTGTGGTCATGTTTAAGATGGGGGTGGGAGGGTTTGTGTTATTTTTTGTTGCTGTTTTTTTTCCAACCACAGTTCCTCCTGTTTACAAATTACAACTCAGAGTCATGGGAGGGGAAAAAAAAGGAAGTGCAGCCTCCTTCCATTCTGGGGTTTTAAGAGTCCGGACGCAATAACAACGACCTGTTTTTCATCAGTTCACCAGATTCCATCCTGTCTTTATCTATCAAGCAAACATGAAGGTGAGTAAAAACATAAAGCAGGCTTTTTGTAGTTTAATGGGCTGGGAAGTTAAAAAAAATAACTAAAAATGGAAAGATATCAATGACATTACACAAAGAAATATTAACACACCAAACTTTAATATTTTATCAACCTAAAACCACAGACCTCAATGTATTTTCAATTAAAGATCCTCAGTTTTGACTTTGACTAGACCATCAAGAGCAGTCCTGGGAACGTCACTTAAAGAAAGTAACTAGTTATAATTACTACTGTGTTCAAGAACTCAGTATTAATTCACATTAACAGTCTTTACCTCTCTAAAACATAACAGTAACACTACAAAAAAATAATGCTTTTTAGGCAATTTAATGAATCAGTGTTCCATAAAAAAGAATAAATCATGTAAGGAATGCCTTTCAGTTTAGGAACGCTGTTATTGACTCTGCAGGTCTGCCATCTCCTCATGTCTCTCCTCCCTTTGTGAGCCACCTCTGCCTGCTGACCACCCGCCCACATCCACCCTTAGCCAATTGTATGTATGCACTGAAAGAGACTTAGCTTGTGAAACACTACTTTGATTGATCAAGTTAAAGTGGATTGCAAGCAACTTAATGCCGTTAATCAATATTTAAAAATACTTTTGTGAGATTACTCTGTTACTAAAAAATAGTTTTGTGCTTTACTGATCTTACTCCCAACACTGACGCAGAGATGCTTTAATTCAATTCATCCCACGGTTATGTTGTATTGACTTTTATACAACCGAGCCCCAGAACCTCAGCGAGGTTAAAACCTATTTTCATGACGGGAACTGATCAAAAGTGGGGATACAATTGAACAAAGACAGTAAACAAGTCTCTTTCCTGGTCTTTTATGATTACGTTGAATCCACCAACAGTCACTCTGTCAGAAAAGGACAAAAAAGCCTGATAGCACACTCTGTGATGATTGAGAGGCTAAAAAAAGCAGGTGGTGTGAGAAACCATAGTTTTCACAATATCCGCAACCAGTAATGAGAGGTAATGTTATGGTTTTGGTTCTGTTCAAGTTTGATCTCTGATTTTTTATTGGTTTTATTTCCAGTTTTGTGTTCTAATTATTTTTTATTGTACTTAAGTTCTTAGAGATTTCTTGTTTGCCCTCTTGTGTCATTCTCCTTTTCCCTAGCTCCCTTCTAGACTCCTCTGTCCACACCTGCTCCCAATCTGCTAATTTTAAGACTGGTAAAGTAGACTGGTATACAGAAACCTCCATACCAGGTTTTTGCTTTTCTATTAGGTTTTTTTTTCACACTTTGCATTTAGCTCCATATATCTCTTTGAATGTGGCCCTGAAACAGCGGACGCTTCCCAAGCAGCACGATTTTCTAATCATACAGCGCTTTGCTTGTGAGGCATAACATTTAAACCTGCTGTCCTTTAACCAAAGCCACTTTTCGAAAGGTATTTGCTGTGTTTTTTAGTTTGGCAAGACAACAAACAGGACCTCTGGCAGCTAACTCTGCTTTCAACTCCGCCATCTTGTTCTGCCTGACCTGTCTGCTCTGTTCCTTCCTCTGAAACAAAACAGAAACTTTAATAGTGAGATTAAATCCCACAATTCGGCTCGACTTAATACGTGACTTTGATCTATGGGTGGAAGAGAAAAAAGTGGTGGAATATAAATCGTGTTTTCTTATTTATAAAACACTTTAATTTTCCTTCTAATTTATAAAGATGCAGAATTTTGTGGTGTACTATCGCATCAATCACAGTGGGACAAAATTAACAAGTTGAAGGGGCGGGAATGTTTTCGCAAAGCAGAAAACAATCAAAAACTTTTTTCAACATTTAATCTTTTGAGGTTGTTAGATTTAAAGTTTTTTTATTCTGAAACAAAAAAGACTCTGTGAGGGCTAACTGTAAAACTTAATTTTGGAAACAGATTAAAGGAGAGTCTGAATAGCAGAGATATTCAGTTCTTGTTTAATACCTAATCTTATCAACACTTCAAACTCCCTGACCGGAATCTGTATCTTAGATGTTTATTCATAGACTGAAAACATTGGTTTAAATAAAAAAAAACTGGTTTGCAGCATGACTTTGTGATTTGTAAAAACATTTTCTCAGCAGTGTAGATGAGATAATAAGCAGATGCGTCGGTTTAAGGCTCTCATTTTCAGCTGCTATTCATAAATAACGTCACTGTTTAGTTTCATCTTTCTAAAATTATATTACTTTATAAAATGAACTTTGATAACCTTTTAAGGATACGCATCAGCAACCCAGACAAAATCAGGAGGGAGCAGAAGAGCCCTCTATGTCACCTGTCAAGGACGACTAATCCTCCATGCTTTAAAAATCTATCCATTTTCCATCACGCTTTATCCCAGCTGGGGTCGCGAGGGGTGCCGGTGCCTATCTCCAGCTGGCGATCTGTCCAGGGGTACACCTTGGACAGATCGCTAGTCTATCGCAGGGCAACAAACTTTAAAAATGTGGCAAATTTTCTCTCAGGCCTATTTTGCTGTTTCTATTAAAAATCTACAAAACAATGTTTTAATAACTATCTCCATGCTTTATCCGACACAAACACTAGAAACTGTATAATTTCCCTGCCACACAACAAGAAGCGGCTCTTCAAAAGTTAACAATATATGAATGAGTACAAACACTCGCTGCTTAAATAGGAGCCACTTCTTAGGAATTCACATCCACCATTTTATTTTAAAAAATCCATATAATCCATAATAGGGGTGTCCTGATAAAATGTTTCCATTTCTGATATGATTGCACTTTTGAGAACTGACCGGGATATTGGCCCATTATAATCATACATACTTTGATACTTATTATGTAGAGGGAAATGTTTGAAAAGATTTGATCAAGTAATATTAGTGAAAGAGAGATCAATAGTCAACAACAATAGGTATGAGGAAAACTAACCCATTTATCCTTAACCAACAGGTTAAATTAACCTTAGACTAAAGCACCCCTTTTTATCAGCATGCCAATATCAGAGATTTTAGGTGCAAGACAATATATTCAGATATTAGTTTTTTGCCTGAAATTGAATTGATATGCAATATCAGTATTAGATTGTGAAATCCATAAACCATATAAAGTAAACATGTGTGCCATCATTGTCTGTACATGCCATACATGCAATGACACACCAAAATAATCCTGATGTATGAACTACGTACACCCAAAAATCCAAGCAGCTTTTCTTAAAACACAGCTGTTGGTTAGTGGGGGAAGGAATGTAATTTGGAAACATTCTAATATTCTGCTGACTTTGATTTTAAATTTAAGCCGCTTTTAAAAATCACAACATTTCCATGGATGCGGGGTATGTAGGATTCAAGTCCCAATTTGTGAGTAAGAAAGCTTTATAATGATGCCCCAAAAGGCTGGAAGTGACCTGCAGTGAAATGGGCTGGCCTGGTCTTTATCAGCCTCTAAGGCATGTCTGGTCTGATGTGGAGGTTAACATCCCTGAATGATCTGATGCATTTCTATTTTTTGGTTTTTATTTAGTTGGAAGTCTTATAAACTTGCTGTTGTTTTTGTTACTTGCTGCAGCCTTCATTTTGCATTTGTTTTTATCCGTTTCAGGATTTACTTAATTAGATCATTTTTATTTTTGTAGCTTATCATAATGATCATGGAGACCCACACTAACAAAATGGATTTAAACAAAAGCAAAAAAAAAAAAAAAAGATAAAAGAAGAGAGTATAGCTTAAGGAGAAGCAGCATTAAGTTTTTATGCTCCACTAATCTTTAACAAACTTCCAGAAAACTACAAGTTTGCTCTTTTAAATCAAGCCTAAAATCAATTTATTTAGAGCTGTGTAATACAGATTAATTTGCCTTGCCATAACCGTTATAAGCAAAATAGAAACAAACAAAAAAGAGTCAATGCAACATAAAGAAAATGCAGAGAAAAAAAACAACAGAAATTTATGAATGAAGTCCCAACCATTTTATTACTAAACAAAAGAAAAAGGTTTGACGGTTGATGATGCTCTGCAGCTTACTGCCAAGATTTGAAGAATAAATCGTAAAACATAATTTATTCTAGAAGTATACATGGTTTTATCATTGATATAATGAATAACTATAAGCTGTTTTTAGTGTTGATACGGGGGATACGGCTTTCTGCCCACAAGCAAATGAAAACCAAACCCTCATCTGTCTGTTGTGCCTGAATGAGCCGTGTTTGGTTGTGGGACTCTTTTTGCCGGAAAGCAAGGCTCGCCCAGGCCGCCATTCGTGCAAGACCTGCCACTCACTTGAGAAACACTAAGCTAATACATTTACTTTCTCCATTAAAAACCATAGCAATGCCTATTTTTCTTCTCTGGCTTAGACAGAGCCATACATTTTGTTGTGTAGGCTTTCGATCCCTGAAGGCACTTACTCTTTAAATAAAACCTTCAGTAATAATTGTTCTTACAGTTAACAGCTCTTAAACAAGACTTAACCTTTAAGATGTTTCGGTCTAAGTTTAGCTGAAAAATGATATGCATTTTTATAACTCTGGACTCTTTAAGTCATTGACGTCAAAAGAATGAAGATGAGCCAA